CACACACACACACACACACACACACACACACACACACACACACACACACACACACACACACACACACACACACACACACACACATCTGCGCAAACACACAGACCCGTTTGCCTTCATATATGTCATTTCTTTTTTTTTTGAGGCGTCGTGCTTTTCACGGCTTTCCTTTCCTCTTTGACGCCCCCCTCACCTCCCCTTTCCCCTGCTGTTCGGCAAACTCGGACGCTACTTCTTGTCTGTTTGTGTCATCAGCATTCGCCCTTCTCCTCTCCTGTCGTTGTCTGATTAACTCTTTCTCGTCCAGAATGCCTTTGGTAAAAACACACCAACGCGGTTTTTGCAATGCGTCAACGAGCCTCAAGTCCTTCATCAAGATTGTCACCCGCTTCGAATGGATTGCAACCTCGTTCGTGCTCTCCATAAGATGCAGAAGATAGGCTTCAGCTGCCTCCAGAAGTGCTCGAATTGCAAGCATCCCGAACCGCATTGGTTGTGTTGCAACCTCTTTTTTCTTCACAATCTCGTGCACAAGCCTAAAAAATGATCTCTAAGGGATGCAAAGCTCTGTGCTGCGTTGCAGTCGGCGCATCTCCGCCACAGCACCCGCTGTCTGGGTCGGCGATTGCGCCTTGGTGGCCCTTGCCTCCCATTAATTTTTCGGCCTGTCTCATCATCCATTGCTGCCCTCCCCTTGCCCCCTCCCCCTTCCTCTCCCTCTTCCACCAACAATTGCTACCCCAACCCCCTTTTCCTTACCTCGACCCCCCCTCCCTGCTACCGTCGTTGTCCCCCCGTTGTCGCGTTTGTTTGTCGCCTTCCGCTTTGTTCCTTGCCCCGTCCGCCTGCTACCATCGGTGCACACTGTGCCGGTGACTGGCGCGCTCTTCTCCACAACAGCACGTCCTGCACCGGAGTGTGCAGCCGGTCCGTCGACGTCACATGCCCCGGGAGCGTCTTCAGGTGGTCTGTTTGCCTCGCATGCTTGTTGTCTTGTCTTTTCAAACTGAGGTTCTCTAATCCCCGCATTATAATTGTTCCCCTTCATGTCCTCCGCTGCCATGTACTCAATGTGCCGCAGCAAACCATTAGAGTACGTCACAAAAAACGGAACACCCAGAGGGTCTCTGAACTCCATGGACAGGTCTGCCCCGCAGGCATAATGCATGGGACAGACAACGGGTACCCATCCAAGAAGTGATGACCGTTCGTGTCAACGGCGAATGAGGCTCAAACAGTTATCAGGAAAATCCGAATAAGGGACTGCGCCCACGCCAGGACCCTGCATTGACCACATGTTCTCCTCTTCACGACCGTCATATCCACACAACACCATTTGACGGTCCTCAGCATTCAATCTATCCCAACACAACTTTGCATGTTTGCACATAACGCTTTGTCATTCACCCTTGCATTGCATATCGATACACGAGCCAGGACAACCATGAAATGTCAATGGTCAACAACACCTGAAGGCATCCAACCCATAGGTACCCACTCGCCTGAACGCAGTCTGGCCGCCATCGTAACTTTCTTTTCAAAAATGACAGGATGAAAGACACTGGGTACCCAATTCACATGATACCCGTACATCTCCCCGGATGAATGTCTGCTCAACTCCGTTTGTGGAATAACAGTGCCAGATATGTCAATATCAGGCAGCCTCTCCGGCGTTGTCCTGTCAGGGTCCCATATGTTAATGAACAGACCATCATAAGTGACCTCCCTTCCTCTTACGTGCCACAGACAAATGTTGTCCTCCCCCGAAAAAAACTTTCCCCTCTACAATTGACGAAAACACGGGGTTCTGCAGTGGGATCAGGGGTTCCCCTGTCGCGGCATTTCAGGACTCCGCCATCTCATACTCCAAATAACGAGACGAGAACTCGTCATTCTATGTTACCGCGCGTTCATTGAACGCGCGTTTCGCGTTCAGTTTTTGAACGCTTTGAACGCGCGTTCAATGAACGCCCCTGAATGCAGTTGACAGGTTTGCGCAGGGGTCTGTCAGGGCTGGGGGGGTGCCTCTGAGGGCGCTGGAGTGTCGCCGGTGTTCAGGGGGGCCTCCCGGGAGGTTATGGTCCCGACCAAAAAAAAAAAAAAGGGGCGCGTTTCGTCGCGGGGCGATATATAGCGGGGGGAGCGTTCACACGCGTTACAGTCGTGCATTGCGCGTCGAACATTCATGTGAACGACTCAACGCATGCACGAGAGAG